GTTTGTTGATGTACCCTTCTATACAGACCTTGAGACTGCAGATACTTGGCATATTCACAGGACAAGTCAGTCCTGTGAATCAAAAGAGGAAAGAGTAGGAAATGATGTCAGAGAAGTAAAAGCCAGATATTTAAGCCTCTTATAAAAGCCATGGTAAAGCCTTAGATTTTTAGTCTCACTAGGCAAGGAAGCCTTTGAGGAGGCTTTGAGGAGAGTGACATGATCTGATTCAGAATTTTAAAAGTACCTCTTTGTCTACATGTTGAAATGTGGGCAAGGGTGGTAACAGTTAAGAGGCTATTACAATAACCAAGTGAGCAATATTAGCTTGGACTAAGGTGGTGGCAGTAAAAGTGATTTTCTTAAGTTATACTTTGAATACCTTTTGAAGAGAAAGCCAAGATTGTTAATGGAGCACTATCAATATTTATATCTTAAATATCCAACTGGAGATACAGAATAGACAATTAGGTTGATGAATTAATTGTTCCCAGGAGAGGTCAACTATAAATTGGAACTATACATTTTGGAGTTGTCAGCAGGTAAGTAATACTGAAAGCTATGAGATTAGATAAGACCACCAAGGAAGTAAGAATAAATAGAGAAAATAAATACATGGATTGAGGCTTTGAACACACCAATGCTGAGCAGATGGAAAATCAAAAGGAACCAGCAGAGGAAGCTAAGGATCAACAAAAAGCAAATAAGGTAAGAAGATCACCAAGACAACCTGAAGTCAAGTGAAGAAAGCAATTCAAAGAGGAGGAAATGATCACTAATATCAATTACTCCTTGGAGATCATGACAGTTGAGGACAGAGAACAGACCATTTGACAAAACAGGAGGTCATTGAATATTATACCAAAGTTTCAGTGGTGGAGATAAAATCCTGACAAGAATGAGTTTTTAAAAGAACAGTAAAAGTAGAGGCAGAGAACATAGAGCTTGCTTTTGAGGAATTTTACTGTGAAGTTGGCCTGACACCAACATTTGGAAGGCTGAGGAGAGGAGTTCAAAGGGAAGCTCCAGTCCTTAGGCTCACTTTCCTCTTCTTCCCATTCCCATCCCACACCACACACATGCATGTAAACAGCCCATGCAATTCAATCCATTTTTGCCCCTCTTGCATAGAGTTGCCTTTCAACCACTCCTTGGGCCTAGGTGTATACATGCTTGTTATGCCAAGAGGACTGACCAGGGAAGAAGCTCACAAAAGCAAAATCAGAGCCATTGGGTACAGTAAATTTTGGAGTCTCAAGTGTCCAGAACATGGGCAAGGAGGAGAGGAGTATGACAAAGGGCACGCGTGGAGAAAGACAAAGGCAGGACTCTAAACTGCAGGGGCTCCAGTTGCCCCTGTCTAAGGGCAACATAGGCAGTTTTCATTTTGCATCGTAGTGCAGGACAATGAAAATGAGCATGCAACCTGAAACCATGCAAAATTATCTTAATAATCATGGCAAAAATTATGATTGCTGTGTGACCTTTAAAAATCTTTGTCAAAACATTAAAAACTCTCCCACTGGTTATAAATATATAAACAGTAAACTAATATTTATTAAGCACATTGTACTTTAAAACATCAGAAACATTGAGAGTTAAAGTGTTTTCTTTGTAAAAAATAAAAAACTGTCATGAGTAAATTGAACAACAACAAAAAGAGTAGATTGAAGAGACCTTGCCTTCTTCTCATTGTACAATCTACTTTATGGAGCAAGCATCTTTTCTATGTGAATTATCATATTCCTTTCTAAATTTGGATCGATTTCCAATATTTTATTTTTTGTACTTTCAAAGTCATGAAATGTCTCTAAGAGTTCTTTTAACGTGAAGTGCTTGTCAGCATCACTTCCTCTGGGACACTTTCATTCACAACCATTTTCCTTATTTATGTTGATAAGTTCACTTTTACTGATTTCCTCTAGTTGCATATCTCGATTCTCTTAAACAACGTGTCAACATGTCCATGGTCAGCTATTTCTTCTATAATTCCATGAATGTCTAATTTGAATTACATTTTCAGCATTACCACCTTTTTTAATGTTTCAAGTTTTTAGTTAAATTGTAGTTAATATTAGTTTCAGGAGTGGAATTTAGTGTTTCATCAGTTGCATATAATACCCAGTGCTCATCACAACTGCCCTCCTTAATCCCCATCACCTATTTAGCCCAATCCCTCACCCACCTCCCCTCCAGCAACCCTCAATTTGTTCTCTATAGTTAAGAGTCTCTTATGGTTTGTCTCCTATGTTCCCCTATGTTCATCTGTTTTGTTTCTTAAATTCCACATATGAGTGAAATCATATGGTATTTGTTTTTCTCTGACTTATTTCACTTAACATAATACACTCTAGCTCCATCCACATCATTGAAAATGGCAAGATGTTTGTATGATAATATGAGGTGATTATATATATGTAGAATTACCTCTCTCTCTCTCTCTCTCTCTCTCTCTATATTATATATATATATATATATATATATATATATATATGTATATATATACACCACCTCTTCTTTATCCATTCATCAGTCAATGGACATTTGGGCTCTTTCCATCATCTGGCTACTGTAGATAATGTTGCTGTGAACATCAGGGTGTATGTGAGATGCCACCTCACACCCGTCAGAATGGCTAAAATTAACAACACAAGAAACAACAGGTGCTGACGAGGATGTGGAGAAAGGGGAACACTCAGGCACTGCTGGTGGGAATGAAAACTGGTGCAGCCACTCTGGAAAACAGTACAGAGGTCCCTAAAAAGTTAAAAATAGAACTACCACTTTTTCTTTCTTTGTTGCAATTTCTTCTGCATTAGCCAACTTCCATTTTAGTTTTTCCATTTTTATAAAATGTTGCATGAGTTTATTAACTCATGGATAGGAAGTTATTATTAGAAGGCAACAGAACTACACACTTTGCTGTAAATATGAACTGTCATGCACAGTGACCAATCATCAACAGATTCAGAGAAATGACATTATTGGTCACTAATCATGATGCACATCTGTTATTTACACAGTGATCTGTGAACTGATGAGCTAGAAGCCAAATTTGTACTTTATGCCATTACTCAGCTAATATACTATAGTAGCTGAAAGTTGAACTATTTTGTTGGAAAACGGGTATTATTTAATTAAACTGGGGTACTGAAATCTATGCCTATTGGAATCCTGCAAAGCAAGGATTGTTACTTATTGCTTTGAAAAATTGCAAAAAATAAAAATAAAAATAAACCCACAAGTGGTAGTTAGAGGATACATCTATTGTAAAGAGAGGATTTTTTTTTTAAGTGGGAAAAATTACAGCCTGTTTGTATTATGAGAGAATTGTTCTATAGAGAGGAATAAGTGGGTGATTGAGAAGAAGATATTTACAAGGGTAACACCCTTCCATAGGCAAAAGGAAATGGAATCTAATGCATAAGTGGAAGGTTGGTTTTAGACAGAAGCACAAAAAGTTTATCCATTTTAAATGCAAAGTAGAATAGGTTGTTGTTGAAAAACAAGTTCTCTCTTGATTGCTACTATTTTCTCAGTGGAATAAAAAGCTAAGTCTTTAAATAAGAATAAAGAAGGAATAGTATATCCTTGAGGAATTTCCTTAATTTTCTTGAGGAAAGAATAAAGTGAAAAATATTTGTCTTGGAGAGAGGGAGAGTAATTTCTGAACCCTCTAAGAGCCACTAGAGATTAGTGATTGAAAAGAGACCTGTTATCTTGTTGCTTTTCTCCAGCCATTTTCATCCTGTCAGAATCTTACCTGATTTAAGAAACAGGCCCTTTCTCCTGCCCCGATTTTCAGCCAAACCCTCCCCACACAGTAGGTCTATCACTGGAGATTCTGTGTTCAGAAAATCAAATGGACCCCTGGGTTGCACCTAGGACAGTTCCTAGGACAGGGTTTCTCTGTTATCCTCATTAAGTACATAATAGGCCAAGAAATAAAAAGCACAATTCAAGAAACGTAAGTTAAAATTGTAACAGTAAGTAGAAAAATATTTCATTGATTTGCCTCATTCTAGTTATTTAAAATCAGAGAGAATAAAAAAATGTTTCTTAGAGAATTTTAAAGCAGGATACCCACAAATGAAATAATAATTTCTTGGTTCACCTAAATTTCTATGGCTTTCTGACTTCATTTTCTATACTGTGACTTCACATAGATTTAAAAATTCAGAGTGATTGAGTAGAGTTTGAGTTGAAGACAAAATGAAGTAAAATAAATCAACTAAAAGAAAATTCAGAAGTCAGACTACTCCAATGCATAGACCACATGGCAAAGGTCAATAAAGAAGTCATACCTCTCTTTCATGCAACAGTAATCACAAAAAGATTAAAAATGCCATAGACTTTTATGTCCTAACAAAGAAGTTACATTTTTTTCTTTCTGAGAAAAAGGTAGGATATAAATTAAAGAACAAACCTAATCAAAGAAGTTGAACTGACAAATGGTTCATCTATAAACAAAACAAAAAACTCACTTTTCTGATTTCCACACATCTCCTTTATTCCATGCTACAATTTTTTTTCACTTCAAACTTTTTTTAGCAACCCCAAGGGAAGCCCAAAGACATGGTCACCCCAGAATTTCTCAGCACTCCAAGCAAGCTCTTGAACTTCCCACACACATTGCTCCCTCTGACTGCAACACTTTGCCCAATTTGTTCTTCTAGCTGGCACTTATACAACTTTCAGATCTCACCTTAAATGTTATTGCTCCAAAAACCTGTCCTTCATTCTCCAGCTAGTTTATATTTCCCTATCCTCTCTCTAAAAACACCTTATACTTTTCCTTCATAGAACATACCATAATTTGTAATCAAATATTTATCTAACATCTATACCTGCCCCTACCCTGATTATAAACTACATGAGGGTAGGACTAAGTATGATTTATTCACCATAGAATGGACAATAGTTGGCTCAGTGCCTGGAACATAGTAGTCAGTAATAATTTTTCGTGGAATAAGAATGGTACTCACAAATAAGTACAGTACCTTTCACAGAAGACCAGAATCTGGGGTAGGGGATTGTTTCATGTGTTCGAAGACTTTGAAGAGCAAAAACTAAGGAGAGAAAGAATAGAAGTCACTCAACTACTGCTTGAGAACAAAAAGTTAGCATGGGGTCCTACAAAAGGGCTAGAAGACCTGGCTGGGTGTAAACAGGACCTCATATTCATAGCTCATGGTCCTGCCACTTAGTCATTTTGACTCTGATAAAGGAACAACCATTCTTGACTTCAAGTCTTACCATCTGAAAAATAATAGCGGGCACCGGATGATATCTACACAGAAGACACTATCTAGCATCTCCCCTCTCATTTCTTTTTTTTTAAAGATTTTATTTATTTGAGAGACAGAGCATGTGAGAGAGAGCACAAGTGGATGGAGCAGGTGGGAGGGGCAGAGGGAGAGGGAGAAGCAGGCTCCCTTCTGAGCAGGAAGCCCAAAGTGGGGCTCTATCCCAGGACCTCAGGATCAGGACCTGAGCCGAAGGCAGACACTTAACCAACTGAGCCCACCCAAGTGCCACCCCCCTCTCATTTCTTAGACACAAATTGCCACAGAATAGTTTAGCAGTTCTTGTGCTTTGAGGGTCAGAGAAATGTGATTTACACAGGCACATAGACAATAATTTTTCAGAAAATCTCAGGATTTCCACCTGCTTATTAAGAGCCCTCACTTTATCTTAGATAGCTAAGCTACTCATCTGGCTGCATCTTAAGATGTCTGAATATTGAGTTTCCTTTCTGTCCTTTTATTTCATGTCTTAATGAGGTTCTTCCATGAAAACAAAGAAAGTTATACTAGTACAAAGGCAAACATAAGCTCTTTTATTATGAGGCATTATTAAAGAGGGACTATGAACTTTGCTTCATAGCAAATCAAAAAAGTGTTTTAATTTTTAAAACATGTCTTGTCCTTCCTAATCAAAATATCAGAATGTTTCAGAAATTCCTGGGGAAGAGTACCAGACCATCTAGATCTTGCAAAAGCTAAACAGACTTTTCTGTTGTGCTTCCCTGGCTAGGAACTACTGCACTAGGAAGTCAGTGGCCAGGAGAGTGTTGTTGTGAAGCCCTATAAACTGGGGTTTCAGAATTGAGAAGAAATCTTCCAAGAGGGGCTGCGTCTTCTATGGCAGTGCCTAAGGATAAGTAATGGAAGTTCAAGAGACAGCTTACCTTCAAGTGAAGGTCAGAACCAAGATGACAATAGAGATGCAATCAAGTAAAAAAAAAAAAAAAGAGTGGGGTGCCTGGCTGACTCAGATGGTAGAGCCTGGAACTCTTGATCTCTGGGTTGTAAGTTCGAATACCACATCGGGTGTAGAGATCACTTAAAAATAAAATCATTTTTTAAAAAACAAATTTGATCGCTAAAAAATCACAAGATTCAAATATAAGACATCCCCCGAGACTATAGGCTCTCTGAGGGCAGGACCATCAGAGATGGGACCACAGTACTTCTGAATTCCTGTTGGCCAGAGGAAAAATAAATGGTGTTTCAAAACCTTTATTATTATTATTATTATTACATTTCCTGTGCTATAAATATTGTACTACAAGTTTATCTTAATGGTGGACTCTTTGTTTTGTGTGGGACAGGGATTGGTATGAACTCTGACTAGAAACCTATGGTCTCTCTTCTTTGTCCTTGACATAACTTTGGATTTTGATGCAGCAATCCAAATGCAGATACTCTAGGCTAAACGCTAATAATGTAGAAGGACTATTCCATGGGAAGAATGTGGCACCCCTCCAATTAATTTTTAAATTTCTGGTTTTCTTACCATAAAAATCCTAGAAGAGAACACAGGCAGTAACTTCTCTGACAATGGCCATAGCAACTTTTTCTAGATAGGTCCACTGAAGAAAGGGAAACAAAAGCAAAAATAAACTGTTGGGACTACATCAAAATAAAATGTTTCTTCTCAGCAAAGGAAACAATCAACAAAACGAAAAGGCAACTTATGGAATGGGAGAACATATTTGTAAATGACATATCTGATAAAGAGTTAGTATCCAAAACATAAAAAGAACTTATAAAACTTGGGGCACCTGGGTGGCTCAGTTGGTTAAGCATCTGCCTTCAGCTCAGGTTCTGATCCTGGGGTTCTGGGATTAAGCCCTGCATGGTGCTCCCTGCTCAGTAGGGAGTCTGCTTCTCCCTCACCCTTGGCCCCTCCCCACCCCATGCACTCTCTCTGCTCTCTCTTTCAAATAAATAAATAAAACCTTTTTTAAAAATTAAAAAAGAACTTATAAAACAACTCCCCAAAACCAAATAATCCAATTAAAAGAAGGACAGAAGACATACAGATGGCCAACAGACACATAAAAAGATGCTCATCATCACTTACCATCAGGGAAATGCAAATCAAATAAAAAATGCAATATCACATCACACCTGTCAGAATGGCTAAAATCAACAACACAAGAAACAACTGGTGTAGGCAAGGACCTGGAAAAAATGGAACCCTCGTGTACTGTTTTGGGAAGGCAAACTGGTGCAACCACTGTGGGAAACAGTATAAAGCTTCCTCAAAATGTTAAAAATACAACTACTCTATCATCTAGCAATTGAACTACCGGGTGTTTATCCAAAGAACACAAAAACACTTATTCAAAGAGATACATGCACCCCTATGTTATAGCAGCATTATCAACAATAGCCAAGATATGGAAGCAGCCCAAGTGTCCATCAACTGAATGAAGGGATAAAGAAGAAGCGGTATACACACACACTGGAATGTTATTCAGCCATAAAAAAAATGAAATCTTGCCATTTTCAATGACATAGATAGAGCTAGAGAGTATAATACTAAGTGAAATAAGTCAGCAAAAGACAAATACAATGATTTCACTCATATGTGGAATTTAAGAAATAAAACAAACAAGCAAAGGGGGGGATAAAAGAGAGAGGCAAACCAAGAAACAGATTCTCAATTATAGAGAACAAATTAATGGCTATCAGAGGAGAGAAGGGGTGGAGGGATGGGTTAAATAGGTGGTTTAAGGGATTAAGGAGCACAGTTGTCGCAATGATCACCGAGTGATGTATGGAAATGTACTATATTGTACACCTAAAACTAACATAACACTGTATGTTAACTAACTGGAATTAAAATAAAAATTTTAAAAAAGGATACCATTAGGAGTGTGAAAGGCAAGCCACAAAATGGAAGAAAATACTTGAAATACATATGTCCAACAAAGTTCTCATAGCTACGATACATAAAGAACTCCTACAACCCAATTAAAAAAAATAAGCAAACGGGGTCACCTGGGTGGCTTAGTCAGTCAAGCATCCAACTCTTGGTTTTGGCTCAAGTCCTGATCTCAGGGTCGTGAGATCAAGCCCCACATCAGGTTCTGTGCTCAGTTCAGAGTCTGTTCAAGATTCTCTCTCCCTCTCCCTACTCCTCCCCCTTTGCCCCTCCATGTGCTTTCTCTCTCTCTAAAATAAATAAATGAATAAAATCTTTAAAAACAATAAGCAAACAATCCAATAGAAAAATGGGCATATCACAAAAGACGGTATCTAACTTACTAGTAAACATGAAAAAGTATTCAACTTTATTAGTTATCAGGGAAATTAACATTAAAACTATGAAGAACTTCATTATGTACTCCACAATAGTTAAAATTTAAAAGTCATCCCAAGTATTAACAAGGATGTGGGGCAACTGGAACTTCCATATACTGTTGAAAGTGGAAAGTGAGTAGAAACTGGACAACCAAGTTAAAAAACAAAACCAAAAACTGACCGTTATCAAAGCAGAACATAGGTATACCCTGAGATCCAGCAATTGCACTCTGTTTATATATCAACAGAAATGCATACACATGTTCACCAATAGACATGTACAAGAATTTTCACAATAGTATTACTTTGCAGTAGCCTTAAGTTGAAAAAAAAAACAAATTTCGATCGATACTCATCAATATATTCACCATTGGAATACCACAAAGCAATGAGAATGAACAAATTACAATAAAGGCACACTTTGTTTCATTGAAAAAAAAAAGTCGTTTTCTCTGACAAGCCTGAAGATGTGGTGCTTTAGAGCAGACACAATGATGAGAACAAATGGGAAGAAGAGAGCCCAAACGTGGTCAAAGCTCGGGGAGAGAGGCAGTCAATGTGGGTCCCAGGGACAAGCCTGGCCATGAGTGTGAAGTACAGCAATATTCGACACAGAGCTTAAAACTTTCTTTCCTAGGTTGCACTTCCCTTCTGATACCCTTAGAGAATTCTAAATTTTGAAACCCAGAGTAATGTGTGGTTCTGGGAATGGAGATGGCCTCCAAGTTGTCATCTGTAGCATTGTAGCTGTGAAGAGATGGCAAAATATGAACAAATTGCTGTTAGAGATAAAAAGTGACAATCAAGCAAATGTCAGCATTCCCCAAGAGTTGTCAGAAAGATCTGGTTTACTAAAAAAAGAAAAGAAAAAGAAATATTTGGTTTACTGCAGAAGCATGGGATACAGGCTCTTTTATTTAGACATTGAAGCAAAAGCTAATCCTAGGGAGATGCGGAAAAAACTTAACAATACTCTGGACTACCTTGGTATTTCCTGTGCCTTGGCACATAAGGAGTACTGAAAATACTGGAAGGCTTAACAGTTAAGCACAATGGTTATGGAGATAGATTTAAGTTTGAATCCCAGCTTTGCCAAGTGACCCTGAACAAGTGACTGAACATCTGGAAGCCTCTGTTTCTTCCTGTTTAAAATGAAGATGAGAAGAATTGAGTGAAATGATGCATGGAAAGTATCTGGCATGTAGTAAATACTCAATAAGCATTTTGGTTTGGGTTTTCATTTTATCTTAATTGAAGTGAGAGAATAGTATTAGGTGTATTATCTGAAGTGTTATAAGCTGCTTCAGGAAAGTACCTAAATTCCCGATCAAAAGCCAGGGACAGGACCAGAGGAGGTGGCCAATAACAAATTTCCCTCAACATGTTCTAAAGGAGCTGTCTTTGTTTCTGATAAACAGCTGGCTCTGCTGAGATATGATGACTTCCTCCATTTTCCCTCCTGCTTCTAGACAGGACAGCATTTAAACTCCCCCACAGAGTGCCTTCATCTATTCTTTGAGCTCACTAGGGGAAAAGATTCCATCCATTTCTTCAGGCACTATAACCCTCCTTTTCAGAAAGAGCTATTTTATTTTTTTATCAAGTTCAATTAAGCCAACATATAGTACATCATTAGTTTTTGATGAGCTATTTTATTTTTAAGTTAATGCCTATGTTTATGTAAAGGAAAAAATATTGTAGTAGGAGTTCTGAACATGGCCAGATTGAGCCTTGCCAATCACCTTTTATTTTCTTCAAGGCTCTTTCAAGGCAAGAGATAGAGAGCCAACTCAAATCACAGCAAGAAAAAAGTAGGGGAATGTTGGCTTGTGTAATGGAAAGTCCAGGAGCTGGCCTACATTCAGGCACAATAGGAGCAGATGTTTAAAAGAGAATCCTTAAAGATCTGTTTCTCTCTCTCTTTCTCTCCTTTGTTCTGCATCCCTCCATGTTAACGTCAGTCTTTGGGATGTGCTTGCCTATCCCACCTCCTCAGAAGGATAGGGCCACTTCTCTCTTCTCAATGTCCACATCAAACCAAATAACAAATATCCCATACTCCACTCTTTTCCACGTAATTCCCAACTAAGGGAGGGCGCCTGGGTGGCTCAGTTGGTTAAGCAACTACCTTCGGCTCAGGTCATGATCCTGGAGTCCCGGGATCGAGTCCCGCATCGGGCTCCCCGCTCAGTGGGGAGTCTGCTTCTCCCTCTGACCCTCTTCCCTCTCGTGCTATCTCTCATTCTCTCTCTCTCAAATAAATAAATAAAATCTTTAAAAAAAAAATTCCCAACTAAGGGAGGTAGATGTAAGAAACAATAGTCAAATGAAAAACAAAATGCCAGATTAACATTAAAACTATGATGTTTTACTAAAGTAAGATAAAGCTCCCCGATAAAATCTGAGTTGGAGAATACAGCTCAGTCCTAAAGGCCTTAGTCAGGTTTTCTGCTTTCCCCCTCCAAATGAAGATGGTGAACCATGGCTTATTGACCCACTGATGAGGAACAGAAGCAGAAAAAATGTTCACCTTTAACCCAGAAGACTGACCTGTAGCCTGCATAGTTCTGATACGGATCAATATGTGCTGGTTGCTACATTCTTAAAGGGTCTCGTGACTGCCTATAAACCTCACCCATAGTTAATATCGTACTGAATGATAAGCACCAGAGAAATCTTACAAAGGTAGTTTTATGAGTAGAAATTCAAAAAAAACAACTTGCAATCTGACCTTTCCCGTCTCACTGCTGTTCAGTGGCTATCCCTAGCAGAGAGTCTCAACCAAAGGTTTTTATTCCAACACTTATTCTTCAAACCCACACGCAGTCCTCTCCCTCTCAGCAATAACCTAGCTCTCTGCTTTTCAGAATAGCTAGGTGCCATTCATACAATATAAACTCTCTCAATTTCTTTTTCCTTTGTCTTAAAATTTGATTAAAATTCTCCTTGTGTCCTCTCTCCTTTCTGCCCTAAAAGGACCTCCATTCCAAGGCTTAGTGACTCCTCGTGGGTTATTGACCTCATCCTCCCCACTTGTTCTTTCCCTTCATCTCTGGCTCTTTCCCTGAGCCTTGAAATATGCTCCATCTCTCCATTGTAAACACACACACACACACACACACACACACACACACACACAAATTCAATAAGCACAAAATGAAATCTTTCTTAGATATTTTTTCTTCAAGCCATCATTTTCTTTCCTATAATTGGCAGACTGCTTAATATCACAGACTTCCTTTGTTCTT